AAAAAGATGTAAACAAAATTCTCTACCCTGAACATAAAATGACACCCTTTCTTTTCATTTTTATTCCCAGAGTTAGCTTGCTAGTCTTTCAAGCTTCCAATTCCTGTTTTTTAATTCTTGGGGTTATTTCAAAGTCACCAAAATGATTTTGTGTTCATCTTCTTCTGATAAAAAGGGTGCTGGGCCTGAAGTCAAAGAAACAGGATTGAAATTCTGGCTCTGGTACTTAGCAAATACATGACCTTGCACAGTGCGTTTCTCCCCACTAAACCTCATTTGATCATCTATAAAATCAACTTTTAACTCTAAGTCTATGGACCTATGGTCTTCCAATTTTGTTGAGAGGAAAGAAGATACCAAGTCAAATCTCTCTGGTCAGCTTTAAAAGTCACAAGTGATCGGAAACATCTTTTAAGTTCTAAGGTAAGCAAAGTTGATCTTAAGTATTTAATTTAAAGCTTTATGATGGTGATTATTAGTTTTAAGCAATTTATGAAGCAATAGATTATTTTTATGCATTGTAATCATGTTACACACATGTAATTTTAGCAGTACAGTTACTGCTTACAATAGATTTATTCAATTTATTATTACAATAATAATAGATTTATTATCACAATAGACTCATTCAAGAAGGAATTGTGAGAGACACAAAGATAAAAAAAAGACCTAACCCCTAATATTAAGGAATTTATAACCAATAAAGGAATTAAGAAACATGACCATGAATAACATAATCTAAGAGAGAAAAAAAATGGAGGAAGAGAGAGATAGGGAAAGAGAAAAAGAAAAGGAGGGGGGGAGAAGGAGGGAGAAAGCTACAATTTACAAGAACTGCAAAGTAAGGTGGAAACTGATTCTGGCTAGGATTATCAGGGAAGGAATGAAAATGACATCTGAACTAGATCTCCAAGGATGGGGAAAATCTCAACAGGCATAAGTGGGAGGTACAACATGACAGTTAATGATGTCTCTTCCTATGAGGCAGATATTGAATATTGGAGTAAAAATTATAACACTTTTTGGGCATTATTTTCCCTTCTAATGGTACCAAATATTCATAAGTTCAGTAGAGAGCTAAAGGTCTGCTACAATATTCAAACTCAGAAAAAGAACCAGAGTTAATTTCAAGAAGAGGAGGGATAAAAGGGAATTTATCCTCCATTCTCAAAAAAAGCTCTCCTAGTCATTCCTGTTTTCTCTTCTCATGGCAGTTATCAACTTCTTCCTCCATATGCACTTTTAACATGCACCTCTACCTGAATTAAGTTTACTTTTTAATGAACATACAGTAGAACACCTGACTAAATCCTTCTTGTTTTAAGACCTGTCTGCAGCTCTTAAGAAATCAAGCAGTTCTACCTGGTGTCAACCTTCCTATAGTTTTTTCTCCTAACAAAGGGTTTAAATAAGTCTTTGGACTGATACATGTTTTTTCTATTCTGCTAGCCAGCATTCAGTTTAAAGGTAAAATCCTATAGTGGGGGGTATTCAATCAACACAATAAATTTAGTATTAAAGAACTTTCCTGTAATTTCATTACAATATATAGACAAGCCCTTAATCTATTTGAAAGTACCTTAGTGTTTGGGAGTATTGGATAAAAGGCAGGTGAGGCCAGACAAGAAAAAAAAAAACTCCTGCGATTGGTCCAGAAGATTATGTCACTCCTCTTAGCTGATATCCTTGAGGGAGCTAGAAGACAAGGACAGCTGTCCTATCTGCCACCCAGCCATAGAGGCTGTGAGCAAATGGTGCCTCTCTCTCTTTTGTGTTTATTCTTTCCTGATCTTAGGTGAAAGAATATTCTGAGATGAGTGTCCAGATGATTTGGTGAATTTGGGAGATTCAGAGGTCCCACTGGCAAGTGCAAGTGGTAGCAGTGGCTGCTATAGTGGTAAAGTCTAATAACAGAAGCAGCACCTGCTGACAGATGTGGAAAAATAGTACCCCAAAGATGGTGACAGTTTCAGAGAGAGACCCTTCATGGCCTATAGAAGTACTGGCTGTGAATTCTCAAGGGGCCCAGCAGAGAGATACACCTAAGGGGAACTTTATGAGAATTCTAAGAAAAGAGAAAAGGACTTCCAGGGCTAGGAGCTAAGAGGTGTCCCTTGGCCACATGTGCTCCCTATGCATGTGCCCAAAATCTTTGAACATGAATACACTCTCCCCAGGAAGGAATAGGAGGAAAGTATGCAGGAAATATTTAGTATGAATTGTTCTTACTATAACCATCTTGGTAAACTCTTTTGCTAAATGCTAATTGAAGCTACAGGCTGAATATCAATGAGATGCACACCAGATAGGCTTGGCACACCAGAGAGTAAGTAGCAACCACCCCACTAGGAACTCTAATGAACATGAGTAGATAAGACAAAGTAATCCCCACCAGGGTTGTTATACATGGGGGCTTCACCTGAGATAATTTTGGCGTCATTAACATTTAAAATGACCCACTAGAGAGATTCACCACCAGGACTCTTGTATACCATAGCTTTATGAGATCCATTAGAAAAAACTGGCATTTTTGCTCTTCTTTTAGGTTGCAATTGGTCAGTTTGTTTTTAGTGTGTTCCCTTAAAACTCCGACCCATTCTTTTAAGTTAACTTTTGTTTGAATGTTGACATACTGAAATCTGTCCAAGATGATCCAACTACTTCAAGCAATGTGTCCAGTACACTACAACAGCTCATGTATGTTTTTTTTCTTTTTCTCTTAAGGTGATCTAAGCTTTGCTTGCTGGATTAGATAGAGCATTTAATAAGTGCTTACTATAAGCCCAACACTATGCTAAATGCTGGGGATAACATAAAAGCAAACAAAATATCACTTGCCCTCAAGAAGCTTATATTCAAATGGCAGAAAACAACACATTAAAGCGATTCTAAAAGGGGAGGGGAAAATTTAGGAATTGTTGGGGAGACCAGGTAAAGAGCAAGATTAGACAAAACTCACCGTTCAGAGCTTACCTATAAAACTTATGATCCAGAGAAATCAACCTCAAGTACTTAATCTCTTTTGGAGTTTACTTGACCTTTCTCTCTCTCTTTTTTTTTTAAACTAAGCCTACTCAGCCTAACAAGGGATGAGTATGGACACTCATTTGGAATTTCCCAAGTGATACAGGGATTCCTGGAGAAACTGTGGGTACCCTATGTTGTTTTAGGGGGCCCAGAGGATTTGTGTGTGTTCCAGCTATGATGGGACAACTAGAGAGGTTTTGCCCAGACCTCTACTTTGACTCCTCAGGTTTATGAGATCCCTAGAGAAATTCTGGGTGTCAGTGTTGTTGCAAAGACTCCAAGGAATTTTTTAGAAGAAAGTATTATATCATGGGCAAAGTGGGCCTGTTCAGCAGCAGTAGTGATTCCATCACTGACAGCTTGCCCTGTAATGAATTTCATGAGGACCACAGAAGGAAGAAAAACATCTTCAGAGGAAGAAGTCACAAGGTAACCCTTGGGCCTATGTGTTTCTCACTAACACTGTACTTTACATTTGTTAAGCCCATTCTCCCCAGGGAGAGCACGAGGGACATGGTGAGCAAGGGGAAGATGAGGGACAAGACAAGCATGGGGAGTATATGCTCCTGGATTAACAAAAATGTTTTGCACCAAGTATTCTTGCTATAGCTTATCACTAAATCACTTTTCTCAAAGTGAATTCATATCTACTGGCTAAATGGTGATGGGAATCAGATCAGTAAGCAACAGTACTAGAAACCTCAGCTCCTCTAAGAATTTCCCCCTAGGATACTGAAAGAAGACTCAACTGCCTTCAAGGGACCTCAACCTTCAAGCACTGTCTGAGTTGGGTGAAGAGGCTCAAAGAAGATATTAGAATAAGATTAGAAGGCCAATATCCTGAATTAAGAAAATGCTACTGCCATTGGTCTCTCCCTGGTCAAAGAACATGTAGGTACCATATTTTAGAAAGGACATTGACATACTGGATAATATCCATAGAAGGATAACCAGGATGGTGTGTAGAAAGGAAATCATATAATCATAAAAGGATTAACTAAAGGAATGCTACAGAATGCTAAGCACTGAAAAGGTAATATTTAAGTGGGCAACAAGATAACAGTCTTCCAGTATTTAAAGGGCTATCTTACATAAAATAATAATAATGACACTTAATATTTACATATTGCTTTAAAGTTTGCAAAGTGCTGTGAATATATTATTCCATTTGGTCTTCACAACCTTATGAGGTAGGTGTTATTATTATCTGAGGAAACCAAGATGGACTTGACCAGGGCCACACAGCTATTAAGTACCTAAGGCAGAAGTTAAACTCAGATATTCCTCCATCTACTATATAGCACTTTTCTTCTTGGCCCCTGGAGGCAAAACTAGAATCAATGGATAGAAGCTGTAAAGATTTCTGCTCTGTATAAGGAAAATACTTCTTAACAATTAGAGCTGTCCAAAAGTAGAATGGGCTGTCAGAGGTAAAAAGTGTCCCTAGTTTTTCCCCCTAGAATACTTTTAATATATTTAACTATAACATCAAACATATGTCAATTTCTCTCCTAGGTCAGTATTTTAAATAGGCTGTTGTGCTTTCAGATGCATCAGATGCATCCCTAATCCCGGCTATTAGTTTCCAATCTCTATTCCAGAGTATTTCAAATTATTTTTTTAAAAAAATTTGTGGCACCCCACTCACCAAATCAAATAACAACAATTAACATTCATATTAGTTTGGCAGGAGGTGATCTTAAACTCCACCAATAGGGTTTCATAACTTTAAAAATTCTGGTGAGCATTTCCCTATAAGTATTTTCTTTTCAGATCTTGTTTTCTGGGAAGCCACTTATACTTTTGTAAAATAAAAAAAATTACTTTAACATAAGATGAAATTTAGGATTATAGCAATACAATAGGTGAAGTAGCATAAATTATCACAAAATAGGGTTAAATGCAAATATTACTTAAACATTATTTACCTCATTTATCTTAGCTGAAATTCAACAATGACAGAAAAAACGTACCTGCTACATTCTATTAGAGTAATTTTAAGGCGGCCTTCTGCAAGTCCAGATTGTTGTATGTATAATGCCATTCATTTTCTTCCTTTGTGGTTTGTGAGACTTGAAATGGGAAAAACGGCTTGAATCTGACAAAAATTGAAAAGAAAAAAAGGATAAGTTTCTGGTTTACAAAAACCTTGGGAATGACATAAAATATGCTAACATAACCAACTGCAATAAAAGACCAGTCAATCTATTTTCTCTTTAGGTCATGTTAATATATTTTTTATTCAACTGGGCCAAGATTAAATTTGGAACTCTAAAAATATATATCTCATGTAGGAAAACATTTGCCTTTCCAAATCCAAACAAATCAATACTGAAGTCAAAAACAGAACAGAGATATCCTTTCTTCTAATTCCATATTCCATGTCAAGACACCATGCTATCTCTTGAAAATACCTAAAAGATTTCAAAGGTCCTACAGATTAATATCATATTAGTTTTAATGTATCTAAGAATCAGTGGGGTCAGCTAGGTGGCACAGTGGATAGAGCACTGGTAGGAGGACCTGAGTTCAAATTCGGCCTCAGACATATTACGCTTACTAGCTGTGTGACTTTGGGCAAGCCACTTAACCCCAACTGTCTCACCAAAAAAAAAAAAAAAAGGAGTAAAACAAACGAACAAAAAGAATTAGTGACTCCTGGTGAAATTTTAACCTATATATTAGAAAATCTAAATCTAATCTGCACAGGGAAAAGAGAAGACGGGCATGGAACATTAGTCAATTACATCAAGAGCACTGGTGCTAATTTCTCTATAGAGTAAAGAGGAAGTAAAATTAGGAAAAGAATGATTACAAGATAGATGGAAATAAAAAACTAATAATCCTAACTATGAATGCCAATGGGATGAACTTACCCATAAAATGGAAGATAAGATGGACTTTAAAAGGAACAATCCAACAATATTTTGTGTATAAGAAATGGATTTGAAAGATAATATTCACACAGAGTTAAAATGAGGGTCTAAAGCAAAATCCATTATGATTCAGCTGAACTCAAAATGGCAGGAGTAGAATTATGATCTCAGACAACGCAACAGCAAATATAGACTTGATTACGAGAGAAACAAAGGAAACATAATGAAATGTACCAAAGATAAGGAATTAATGCCACATATACCACACATACAAATATAGATCATAAATGGCACAGCATCTAAGTACTTAAAGAAAAAACTAAGTGAATTACAGGGAGAAATTGACAGTAAAACTATAACAGTAGTAATACTGGTACTGGTACTCATCATTTGGTACTAGTTAAGAAATTAGAAAGGTAGATGAGTAGAACACACTAAATACACAAAGTTCATAAGAAAAATCAACACAGTAGCCTAGTATTTGAGGTTTGATAGACCCAAAGACCTCAACTATCAAGATAAGAACTTATTATTCAGTAAGAACTCCTGGGAACACTTGAAAGCAATCTGGCAGAAAGTAAGCAAGGCAGAGAACAACATCTCACCTCATATACCAAAATAAGCTCCAAACGAATACATAACTTGACACAAAGGGTGACATCATAAACAAATTAGAGATGCAAAGAAAAAAAATATTTTTCAAAGGGTTTAGTTTCTGATATATGAGAAACTGATTCATATTCATATTTATAACTGGTGAATGATCAATGGATAAGAACAATTTTCTAAGGAAGAAATCTAGGCTATCAATAGCCAAAATCAAGCTGTCAATAGGCATGACAAAATGTGCCAAAATCACTACTTAGAAAAATGCAAATTAAAGCAACTCTGAGGTCCCACCTCACATCCAACATATTATTAGCAAAACTGACAAGAACTGTAGGAAAACAAGCACGTGAATGTACTGTTGGGAGAGCTGTGAAATGGTACTGTCGGTCTGGAAAGAATTTGGAACTATACCGCAAAAGTTACTACCAAACTGTGTACAAACTCTCTGACCCAGCAAATGACTGACCACTTGGCCCACATCCCAGAGATCACATAGAGGGAAAAGACCCCTATATGTAAAAACATGTATACAGATATAGATATAGATATAGATATAGATATAGATATAGATATAGATATAGATATAGATATAGAGAGAGAGAGTGGCTCTTTTTGTTGGCAAAGAACTAGAAGCTAAGAAGGTACATATCAATTAGGGAATGGCTGGACAAATTATGGCAATATGGAATTAACAGAACACCACTGTGATGTAATAAATGATGAAGGGGGAGGAGACAACTGAATTGTGTTGGTGTACACCTGTAATTCATACTGCTAAAGGATTTTAGCTTAAATCCTTTTAAAAGGATTTACCATACTGGTAAATCAATTGAGTCTGGTAGCTCTGAGCTACAGTAGAGCCAAAGTCATTTGGGTTTCCAAAGTCTAGTACCAATATAATGAGTCTTAGGGAATAAAAAAGTCTTCAGAATGTCTATGGAGGGGAAATAAACTAAATTGTAAGGATTCTTAGAATTATGTAGTGCACTGCATGAATGAAGCAACATGGTAATGTTCCTAAGATGCACATGATAAATATTACTCTAAAACTAGATGTGGAAGGGCAGCTAGGTGGCACAGTAGCTAGAACACCGGCCCTAAAGTCAGGAGAAACTGAGTTCAAATCCGGCCTCAGACCAAACACATGACATGGTGACCCTGGGCAAGTCACTTAACCCTAATTGTTTAAAAAAATAAAATAAAATAAAATAAAATTAGGGGCTGATGTGGAGATAAGCTTCAGGAATACATAAAGAATTCTCTATTTGTTATTGCCTAAAGGCATTCTATGATTCTTATATCTTTAATGGAATAGAATATTACCATGTCGTAACAAGCAACAAACATGATGAACACAGAGAAGAATGGAAAGACTTACACAAAGTAAAGTATACAGGGTGAGGAAACCAATACACACATCAACTCTGACAAAATGTAAAGCACCACAAAACAACTGAAAATGAACACAAAAAAATTAGAAAAACTAAGCTTGGCTCTAAAAAAGAGACATAAGACACTTTCCCCAAATCACATGCAGGGGTGAGGAATCCATGAGTATGAAGCTTTATATGTGATGTCGTATTTCGGGGGGAATTATCTTTCAACTTTATTTTTTTCCCTCTTATTTTTCATTAAAAATTTTTTTTATAAGGAATGGCTCTCTGATAGGAAGTAAGAGGAGGGATATACCAAAGGGAAATTGAGACAATGTAAAAGCAACAATCAATGAAAACTTTTTTAAAATGCAAGCTATTATTATTTGAGAGGATTTAGAATAGTACTGTATTGTTTTAAATTATTTTATGACATTTTAGTCATAGCTATGATTTCCCTGGTGCCAAGTGAAAAATAAAAATACAACACATATCTTTTAGGAAAATACAATTCATTTTTACAATAATCCTTATCTCCTTCCTTTAACAATTGTTTCTCTTAAGCTACAATACAAATCTAGAGTATGTAATTGTATCAGTATGTTATATTCTGTTTACAAATATCTAGATTCCATAACTTTAATGTAAATGTAAACATCTTAAAATAAGAAATTCAAGCTTGCAAAACAAGAATAGAACATTAAATTACTGTACATTTCAGAAATGCAAAATGATACTCTGCAAGGGTAAATATTATTCAAAAGGAATAGAATGAAATGGGTCACTGACAGGAGAGCAATTTGCCAAACCAAAAAAACCCCCAAAAACAAAGAACATAAAATCATATCATAGATTAAAATAAATTTTAAAATTGATGAAGGTGTTATACTCAAAAGAGAGAGAAAGAAAGCTGCCTGTATAGATCTTCCAAGCCTAATACCAAAAAGTAGTAGGCACAACAAAGAATAGATCAGTGATTCATGGGAGACAATATCAAATAAAACTAGCAATAGAACCTATCATATTAGACACCTCCATAAAAATGCCCAATGGACAGGTAGTATACAAGGTAAACTAGGCAAATTTAGCCTCTTAGTCGCTGCTGTGACTTGGTGGGATGGAAGTCATGACTGGTATCATGACTGGTGTAAGGTCAGAGAAGGGCACATTTATTGAAAAAGATACAAAAAGATTTAAAAAAAGAATGGCAGAGTAACATTGTATATTAAAAAGATATACTGTATAAGGAAATCTAGGAACCTGAGACTTGACATGTGTGGAGATTACTGGGATCGACATCAGAAGCAATATTGTCTCAGGCTGTATCAAAGATCATATAAAGAAAAGGAAGAATTAGATGCAGATTAAAAAACAAATTACAAACCTAGAGTAATAGATGTCAACCTTCTAGACATATGCTGGAGTACTGTGATAAATTTATGACTTGCCCAAATGGTAACTTCATTCTTCAAAAGTTGGACACAGCAATGAGGTTACTATTCAGAGCTGATTCACACCAGTGAGGAAGAACTAAGCAGGAATAACAGGAAGCACAGAGACAACTGCAAAAGTGATAGACTTCACACAATCTAAATTTAAGGAGGGCAGATTTCATAGGGTTTAGAGAAAGGATAGGTAAGACCCAAAAGTTTAATGTTTTATAGAGAAAGTTATTCAAGAAGGCTGGGAAATCTCAGAAATGAAATTCTGAAAACAGAAGAAGAAATCATTCCAAAGAAGAGGAACTATATACAGAAATTGATAAAGTTACACATGAAACTCACTGACCAACTAGAAATAAAAAGACAGGGGGAGATGTCCAGATGCAAGGGCAAGTGACTGAAGACAAATACCAAATTGCAGAGATACCCTTTAAGAACACTGTCAGGAAAGGTGAAGCCTAAAATGAGTTAAGGCTAAGGAAACCCTAAAAGCTGAGAACAATAAAATGTTTTTTAAAAAGCTATTTTGGAGGCAAGAAGATCAAAGAAGGGATAGGGATAGGATTACAACTCAGGAGGGAATGAGATGATGATAATTGGATCATGGTGAGAAGACTGAAATACTTAAAACTTATTTTGCTTTTGTTTTTTCTTCTAAGGAGAATGCCTGGGGAAAATATTTCACAAGAAGTAGAAATCCAAGACAAGCAAGAAAACATAAATTCAATAGCTAGATGCAGTCAATAAGTTCTAGTCAAACAAATGTTTATTACTATGGTAAAAATAATCTTTGAAAGA